AAAGAGACAAGAAGCCTTGCATCTGAAGGACCTCCCCCGACTGTGGAAGTGTCCGTCATTCTAAAGTCTTTCCTTTGCTTCTGTCATGTCAGGCCATTTATGTGCGACCCAGAATCTGCCATCGTCCCAGCTGGTTGGACCCTGAGTATTTGGATGCCTACTTTTCAGTCTCACGCTTTTACTCCAGAACCAACAGCTTCCTAAAGATCGTTCCTGAGCCAGAGCAGCTCCCGTGTAATCAAGAGAAGATGGTTTCAGTACTTTACTCCCTAAACCCTGAGGCCTACAAGGATGCCTCAGGTGTGAACTTCTTCTATTTGGTAAGTCCCAGCCAGTGGAGCTGTCTGCTCCGCACCCTCTGGTTTAGCAGGTGTCGTCTCTCAGGACTTGTTAATCCAAGGGAGCTCTATCTACCCACTTTGCTGCTGAGTAGCCCTGGCTCCGTTAAGAACACAGGAACAGACTTGTAAAACAATCCCAGGCAATCTGAGTTTCCCTAAGCCTGAAACACTCGCTTCTTCAGTCATTCTGTTATACTTCTCATCAAATATTTATGAGCACGTGTGAGGGTAAGTCACATGGAAAGCTCAAAATGCTGAGCGTAAAGGAGCTGCTGCTCTCATCCCCTCTAGTCAAAGCTTCTGGAGAGTGAAAACAGACTTGGAAATCAACATTCCCACTTCCATTCCCTCCACACTCTCCTAGGCGTCAAGCATTGTGTCCACCCTGGACATGTTGTTCAGACTCTCTACCAACGACGTTAGTAGGCTTAAGGTGCTGTTAAAGAATTTCACATGTATCGAGTCACCTAGTCAGCTTTATAGGCGCTCCATGTCACAGCATGGAACAGAGGCAAATGGCAAACCATGGGCAGGCAAAGTGACCAGCTTGAACATGCATTAGATGGCTTCACAAAGTTTCTGGTGTTTTCTCTTTTCTGGCCCAACATGTGTGAAGTTCCCTTTTAATATCCATTTATGGAAGCTACCCTGTTACAGGACAGAATAATCACTAGGTCAGTCCACGATGACACGATATGATGCTAGCTGCAGTACTCACACAGGGTTTTCTTTGTCTGACGCAGGTGATGGCAAGAGGAAGCATCTTCCTCAGTGGACAGAAGGAAGTCAGAAGCCAAGGTGGATATGATGCCCTTGCTTTGAAATATGTACCGTATCTTCATGCTTTTCTTCCAGAAGTTAGGATGGGCACTTACTTCCTCTTGCAGTTGGAGGGTAGTAGATGTCCTAGCTTGAGGTAATATGCGGGATAGTTTGAACAAGGAGATTGCTACCTTTCTATCATTGTTCTAGTTTGCTTTCTCTTACTGTGATAAAGCACTGGGCAAAGCAACTGGGCGAGAAAAGGGTTTGTTTCATCTTAATGTCCATCACGGAGGGCAGTCAGGGCAGGAACCTGGAGGCAGGACTTGGAACAGAAACCATGGGAGAACACTGCTTACTGACTTTCAGCCTGCTTTCTTATGCCTCCCAAGTCCACCTGTCCAGGATTGGCATAAGCCAGAGTGGACCGGGCCCTCCCATATCACTCATTAGTCAAGAAAATGCCCTGTAGGTGTGCCCACAGGCCATTCAGAAGGAGGCAATTCCTTAGTTGGTTTCCTCTTTGCAGGTGACTCTAGTTTGTGTCAAGTTGACAAAAATTAGCTGGTACCAATACTATCAGTTAATCATGTACACTATAGAAAAGCAATGTCTAAGACGTCCCTATAATAATGTGATCTTTATCTGTGTGTAAGTCCCTGCTTCTTATTTGCATTTGAATAGGGCCCAGTTTCCCTTTTCTAGCCGCAAACCATTCTCTTTCACCTAAGCAAATCCAGAGATATAAGTTAGCACCATGCCATCTGTGAATTGCCTGTTTCTGCAGCCTGGAATGGAAGCTTCTCCTTCCCGATCCGCATCAGCGCTGATCTGGCACCACTGGCAGCCCTCTTTGTCTACACTCTCCACCCCAGCGGGGAAATCGTTGCAGATAGTGTCAAGCTCCAGATTGACAAGTGCTTTAAAAACAAGGTGATGTTTCTTCTCTCAGCAGGGTGAGCATTTTGCTTCCTGCACTTCCTTTTTCAAATTTGTTTTTTACATCTATTCATTCAGTGTGTACGCGTGTGTGTGTGTGTGTGTGTGTGTGTGTGTGTGTGTGTGAGTGTGTGTGTGTGTCTGTGTTTGTGTGTGTGTGTGTGTCTGTCTGTCTGTCTGTCTGTCTGTGCGTACAGGCATGTGGGCCCATGAAGTCAGAGGACAGTTTGCAGGGTTCTGTTCTTTCCTTCCATCATGTGGGTTCCAGGGATGGACCTCAAACTGTTCCCCTTGGTAGCAAGCGCTCTTCCCTGTTGAGCCATCTTGACAGCCCTGTCTGTCTTACCCGCCCTCCCCATAATCTTTACACAGTAATCTCATAGTTAAATTAGTAAAGAATGGCAGTGGTAGTTATCTCCAAGATGCCTGATCCTGGGGAGCTGGGGCATGGTGAAAGGAGATATTCCTACAGGGAACTGAGAATGAACAGGAAAATATAGATGCAGAAATCTGTCGGGATTTGTTTGGAAAAGACAAGATTTACTCAAACTCTCTTCATCTGTAATTATCTCTACCCTCACTGCTTTCCTTTCTCTACTTCAGGTTAGCATAAAGTTCTCGAAGGAGCAGGACCTACCAGGCTCTACCACCAGGCTACATCTTCAAGCAGCCCCTAACTCCTTCTGTGGCCTGCGAGCAGTGGACAAAAGTGTCCTTCTGCTGAAACCCGAACAAGAATTGTCACCTGAAAGTGTAAGCACCCTTGTTCCTCAGTGTCCCCAAGCTGTGCAGATACAGGCTTTGCCCTTCGTGGGATACTTTTACTTGTGATGGGACATGCTGGGAGCATCAAGTCTTCACTTCTGTGTCCCTTCCTCAGTTACTAGGATGGGTCATTAACTATGTGAGTTTCCAGTCTGGCATTCACAGTAACACAGAACTCTATAGATAATTGTAACAGATTAAGACCTCTAAAGCAGTATGATAGTTTAAAATCGTAGTGAGAATTTTTCCGTTGGTCTCTGTGCCTTTGGCAATGTCAGATCATGCTCTCAGCTCTAACTAATTTGCTGGCCCAGGATGACCCAGACCTATCTTTACCTTCTTTGTATCAGCCTTGAAAACTGATTTTTCATTTCGTTTTGTTTTGTTTTTCTGGGAGCCCTGGTTCCTTTAATAGAAGATATTTGTCTAGTTCATCTGTTTTTAAGTAAAACATCTCCAGTTGACGGGTTGTTACTACTCGGGTGACAGGAGACACTGCCTTGCCCTGGATTGCATTTCTGTCTATTACGTTTATTTCTCACTTTCACATCTATTCCACGGGTTTTTCTTTTCCTATGTCAGTCCCACAGTTTTAATGATAGAGATTAATTTTTGGTAGGAATCAGCTCCTATGTCGAGGCACTTCAGGCATCTCAATTCCAGGACTCCCCTTTGCTATTCTAGTTGACTTTTAATATCAACTTACTTCTAACTTCTCTAGCTCAAGGAGGGAAAGGTACCTGGTATCTTTACTGTAACTTCATGGGATTTACAAATTAACTTCAGCATTGCCCACTAATGGGGGAGCATTCTAATTCATAATTTGGCTTTTTTATTTCTCCAGGTATATTTTTCCTGTCACTTATGAACTAGATTTTAAATAGTTTTCTTACGTAAATCTTTGCTTATTCACAACGGTGTCATAACAACTCTGTTGCTGTTATAAACAGGTTTTCATCCACTATATTATTTATGTGCCCAGCAGGTCTTCCACATAAAAATTTACATTTTGCTAAATTCCTTTATTAATTGAATTATATTTTTCATTGGTTCTCTGTTTCTGTATATTGCATTGCCATCAAATAGAAAATTTCTTTTCTCAGCCTCTCTCCCTGTCTCCCCTTCTTCCTCCCTTCCTTCCCTCCCTTTTCTTGTTCTTGCCTTAGTAGAAACCATAGTGGAGCATGAGCTCCTGCTGACTCATGTGTGACAGTCTCTTGACAACTTTCTATGTTTGCTTTATAAAAGTTGGCCCATCTAAGTATTGTCTCTCATTTGGTGCCCGTTTGGCCTCATTTCTCAAGAGATGAAGATAAAATATTTATTATTTTATGTGCGTAAATGTTTTGTCTGCATATATGTCCATGCATGCTGGAAATGGAACCCAGGTTCTCTGGAAGAACAGCCAGTGCTCCTAACCACTGAACCATCTCTCCCAGCCTGGAGAGTAAGAATTTTACGTAGATTTCCAGATTCATTTTGTTGAAAATGAAGGAAGTCTTTATGACTTAAGAACTATGCTCTCTGAGACAATAGTTACGTTCCTTTATGTTTTACTATATTAATTACTGGCTTACCCATAATTTTTTTCAAGTTATAAAGTGAATGTGAATTGGATTTTGTGAGGATTTTGTTTGGTTTGGTTTTGATGCTCTGCTAAATCATTTTTACTTAATTTTGTCGAAGCTGTTTTTAGCAGGATTTAAAAAAAATCTATCACTTACATTAATGAAGTTAAACAGCTGAGAGGTTTTGTTAGCTACAGTGTGCCCTCTGTATTATTCTGTTACAATCTCCCCTCCCTTAAGCACCATCTCCAAAGGTCAGTGCTCTCCTCTGTTCACAACGCTATTTTCCATCAGTTACACCCACCTGGTAGCTGTCACCGTGGGAGTCATGCATTTCAGTGAATGGAAGCTGCCCCTTTGTTTCAAGCCCTTCCCATTTACTGGGAGTTATTGTGTCCAGGGAAAATGGTTCATATTTTGACATGAGTTGTTGGTATATATTTTTTTAAATCTGGAATTAATTTGGTTTGTGTTTCTTTTAATGTCTTTGAGTCATTCTCCCTTTGTGCATGTAGTTTCTTGAGCTTTCTTTCCTTCAGTTTTACATACATTTTTTGCATACTTTCAGAACACGATATTCATTATTCTAAACTAGGAGATTGCAGAAATATTCACCATCCCTCACAATGGTGAAAGTATGCCATTGATCTCAGTCCTTGATAACTTTTTTATTGGTGCATATTCATTGCACATAGCACTGGGCTCATAAGAATATTTGCATACAAGTCTATAAAGCACTCTGATGGCTTGCTCATTGCTTGGCGCTGTTTTTTATATGAAAGGCTTTAATACGTTAATAATTAGATTCAAGCTGCTGACATGATCCTTCTGGTCTGAGAATTCTACTACTATAACTTCAGGCAGTTATCTGTGTGCTAGGCTTTGGAGCAACCCAGAGTTCTCCATGAGCTCTTTCTTGTTATCCCAAATCCTGCACTATCAGCCAGAAAAGTTTTCAAGTAACATGGACTACATAAACCACAACTGATCTCATCTGGGTTTTTGGAAAGTTGACTCAGAAATAAATGGTTATGACTCAAAATTTTCCAATCCTATCATTATGTAATGAGTGCTTAAAATCACCAAGGACCTTATCGTCCTCTCCTAGGTATACAACCTGCTTCCGAATATCCACCCATATGGATATTTCTACCATGGTCTCAACCTGGATGACGATAGAGTAAACCCATGCATCCCTCAGAAGGATTTGTTCCACAATGGACTGTATTATACACCTGCAAGCAATTCTTGGGATGGGGACATCGCTAATCTTCTCAGGGTGAGATCACAGATGAGTCTGAAGCATTCTCTATTGGAGCTTCAGTTCTCATCCATCTTTGTCTCTCCTCACTGTGTAGATTCTTTCTATACTGTGCTGACAGAGTATTCATTAAGAAAAAAAGACATGCTAATCTGTTGGCTTTTTTCTGCTTGCTGAAAAACCATGGAACCCAAGAGACGGTTTCAATTTGTTGCAATACCTCTTATGCATCCATAGTTAAACCAAGAAGATAGCTTCCAGTCTGCATTCCACATAAACAGAGGCTATCAGCTACACATGTCCAGGGGTCACACAAGATCTTTATAATCAGAATCACAGCAGTTTAAGAAGAGGACAATGGCCGGGCGTTGGTGGTGCATGCCTTTAATCCAGCACTAGGGAGGCAGAGGCAGGCGGATCTCTGTGAGTTCGAGGCCAGACTGGTCTCCAGAGTGAGTGCCAGGATAGGCCACAAACTACACAGAGAAACCCTGCCTTGAAAAACCAAAAAAAAAAAAAAAAAAAAAAAAGAGGACACTGAGTCAGACAAGCTTTAGTTCAAGCCCCAGTCTGCGGTTTATCGTGTGTGCACTGTGTATAAACATGTGTACGCATGTTTGCTATAAAGACTGTAGTGGTCCTGATTTTCTGGTTTCCCTTAAGCACATATGGAAAAAACATGAAAATATTAGCACATTAATAATAATAAAAACAGTGATTATTGGTTTTCTTCCAAACTGAATTTATCTGTAAGTCAAATTAAGGAGACTTGATTTCTATGGTACTGGATCATGACTAACACGGAGAATATTGCTGTCTGTTTATTGTGACTGTAGGCCTTTCATGGTTTTCTGAGGAAAGGAATGTATAATTTTTTTTGTTTCTTTCTCTGAAAGGACATGGGTCTGAAAGTCTTTACTAATTTCCATTACCGGAAACCAGAAATATGTTCATCCCAGGAAAACTTGCACTTACTGAGGACATTTGACGGCCCACAAGGACCAATGATGTATGGTGCTCCAGCTGCCTGTGAGTAATCTAGCACTTCCTATTGGAGTAACGGTCAATAGAATTCTTTGACTGGGTGTATGTAAGATAAAACCATGTCAAACACAGGTCTTATAAATTATGGTGATTTAGAACAAGAACTAGAATTCCTACAGTTCAACAAGAAAGGCTGGAAATATTTTTTGCTATAAAGAATAATTAGCTTCTGATACAAGAAAAAATTTGGGTTTTGGTTTCTGCCTTTCATAATGTTTTAAAATTGTTGTTTGTTTATTAAGATAGGGTCTTTTACTGTAACCCAGACTGGCTTCAAAATAGATGTGAAGCTATACAGAGTGATACAGGCAGCAACTAGACACTCATGATACTGTTTGTTTGTATTGAGAAAGGGTCTCACATAGCCCAGGCTGGCCCCAAACTTGTTATATAGTCTAGGATGACCTTGAACTTCTGATCATCCTGACTCTACCTCTCCAATACTGGGGTTTGCAAGTGTCCACCACCATGCCCAGCTCCATAGTTATTATTTTGATGTGGAAACACGGACTAAGTGCATCCTATGCGGCTCCTGTAAAGACAAATGTTCTGGAGAATTAGAAATATTAACACCAGTGAAAACTTCAGCAAAAACAATGCCAGTGGCAGAGCTGGCAGGTACTGGAATGTCAGCCAAGAGTCAGGGTGGAGATTTCATCTATCCAGATTTGCCTGAAGGTGATTCGTTTTTTGCTGCAGCTTTTAAACAAATATAGCATCAAAATAGTGACACCCAGTTGAGATTTGAATTTATCAGCCTTAGGCCCTAGGAGCAAATTTCTGTGTCACTCATGCTGAGACTCACTAGGCCTGATAAAGTTAAGAGCTCAACTCCAGGGCCAGGGAGGTGGCTCAGGGGGTAAATTGCTTGCTGTGCAGTCATGAGGACCTGAGTTTGTTCCCTAGAACACACACACACACACACACACACACACACACGTGCATACATGCATGAGTATACATGCACACTCACACACATGCATGAATTTACACACACACACACACACACACAGCTTAACTCCGTGTGTGACAATGAAGCACCGCACAAACTTTTGCTCTTTCTACATAAGACATTTCTCTCTCTCTCCCTCCCTCTCCCCCCCCGCCCCCGTTTTAGTTCGTGATGCCGTAGACAGCATCAACCACGCAGAACAGGCCATTAGAGAGACAGTCAGGACACACTTCCCCAAGACCTGGATATGGGACCTCATCAGTGTAGAGTGAGTTTTATTTTTCTGTTACTTCGTAGTTGTTCTTTGTTTTGTTTTTTTTCCTTAAACAGATTTCTCCCCTGTATGTCTCTATCTCTATTTTTCTTCTTTTGATTTGTTACCTTTTATTCCTGGGCAATAAAGCGATGGGGTATTTCTAAAAACAAACAAACAAAAAAGTCGTTCTTTGTATATCCTGATAACATTTGATGGTTTGTTTATTTGTTCTGTAAACAGCTTTACTTTTCCACCAAACCTTCACTCCTATAATTCCATGCAGGTAGATATACGCTACCTTAATTTTTAAAAGATGTTTGTAGAAGTATGGCATTTCTAAGGCTCGATTCTACAGACACTCAGACTGGAAATATTTAACAGTGCCTTACCTAAACACCTCAAGTCATTTTCTAAACCTTCAGTCACTGTATTTGTGTGTGTTCAACATAAACTCAGGTATTCAGAGGACACATGTCACCCACACCCTGTCTTCTCAGTTCCTCAGGTTCAGCAAATGTCTCGTTCCTTGTCCCCGATACTATAACCCAATGGGAGGCCAGCGCCTTCTGTGTGAACGGGGAAGCTGGGTTTGGCATTTCACCCAAAGCATATCTACAGATCTCCCAGCCCTTCTTCATTGAAATTGCCTCACCCTTCTCCATTGTTCGAAATGAACAGAGTGACGTGGTTGTCAGTGTCTTCAGCTACCTGACTACGTGTGTAGAGGTAAGTCACCCCCTTTGACCTGGAAACAAATATCCAGCAAGCTAAATTATTCACTAATTTTTTTCATTAAATATCACCATAGTTGATTAACAAATGAAAATTCATACTACAAGGAAGCCACTTCTTTCTATAATCTTTAGAGATAATAAATGAATAATAATTCAATTTTTAATTTTATTTTCTGAGTATAATTGTTTTGTCTACATGTATGCACATGTACCATGTGCATTTCTGGTGCCCACAGAGGCCAGAAAAGGACATCAGAACCCCTTGAATTGATGTTATTGGCTGTTGTAAGCTACCATGTGGATGCTGAGAACTGAACCCAGGTCCTCTGCAAAAGCAACAAGTGCTCTTAACTGCTGAGTGCACTCTGTAGCCCCAGAAATAATTGTTTTAAATCACAATGACTTGAAATTATAATGATAATGACATTTTGTGATGATACACATTCTACTATTTTGTGAACTTATGAATGAGTCCTTGGGCATCTTTTTATTTTGCTAAGTTAAAGGAAAAAAATTTTTTTGTTTTTTCAAGACAGGGTTTCTCTGTATTGTTTTGGAGGTTGTCCTGGAACCCCCACTGTATACTAGGCTGGCCTCGAACTCACAGAGATCTGCCTGCATCTGCCACCCAAGTGCTGGGATTAAAGGCGTATGCCACCAATGCCCAGCATAAAATAAAGAAAATCTTAAGATGAAAATGTCAACTTCCTCGAAGACATTGAAGAAACCATTGTGTGATAAGCTATAGAATTTTAAGGAAAGGAGAGAAATTAAATTGCTACCCCTGTGGCCATTATTCTGTTTTTAGATTTCTGTTCAGTTAGAAGCATCTGAGAATTATGAAGCAAATATCAACACCCTAAGTAACAATGGCAGTGATGTTCTCCAGGCTGGAGAAAGGAAAACATATGTCTGGACCATTATACCAAAGACATTGGGTAAGCAGCTGTCTTTCCTGGACTGATCCACATTTTATCAACCTCTGTTTTTCTTAGATTTTCAGAAGAAAGATGATTTTCTTCAACACCGTATTTTTAATTTCCGTTATTCATTTCCCTATATTCAAAATTCTTATAATTTCCTTGATTAAAAATATTTTCTCTTCTGTGTCTCATGCATGTGCCTGCAGGTATGTATATACACCATGTGCATGTGGGTGCCTAGGGAATTGGGAATGGGGTGTTCCATTGGAACTTGGTGGTTGTGAGTTGCCTTATATGAGTGCTAGGGACCAAACCTAGGTCCTCTGCAAGAGCAGCAAGTGGTCTTACACACTGAGCCTCTCCAGCCCTATAGCTGCTTACTGTTAATATTACTCTGTGGAACAAAACTCCATTCACATAATAAGATTAAATATGGCACAGATGCTAATGTGTGTGATTTATCAAGTCCATATATCATATCCCAAATAAAGGCCACATCTCTTAATGCTACCCTGACTCTGGCATTTGCTGAATTGTTACCCAACAGTCACATAAAATGCCACTTTTACAAAAATTTCTCCTCAGCCACAATCATCAATTATGAGAGTCACTGGGGTTATTTTTTAAACTAAATGTACTAAAAATAGGCCACCGGATACCCAAATCCAACCATTGAATCAAATACCGAGAACTTTGTTCTTGTGCCTGGCAGTTGAGAAGAGTAACTTGAGAAGTCTCTTGCTGATGATACGGGAGAAGGAGGAAGTTAAAAGTTTAGTGAACCAGAAAGGCTAAATGTTGATGCTGCTTAGTTTGGGAAAACTTTTTAAACTTATGTCAATAGAATTCTTTTATTCAATTTCTTGTATTCATTGTATTATCAGTGGAGTGTATGTTTTTTTTTAATTCAGCTGTGATATTGATTCACCTCAGACCATTTTTCTATTAGACTTAAACTTTTTTGATTCTTATTCTGCGCAACATCTTCGAATAGCTAACTCTGAGTTGCTGCTATGTCTCTGTGATGCTCAACGACTGTGCAAACCAATGAGCAAAACAGGCACCAAAGAAACAGAAACAATATGCCAATACGTCTATAGTACACAGCCTTGTGATACTGGAGATCAGGTTTGATTACCTACTATGATACCACAGAAATTAAAATCAAGGGATTTCTTGCCAGCATTCAGATATATCTGGTGGCCCTTGTGCTGGATCAGATCTTACTGTTTTACCTTTGATCTCAGAAAACACTAGAAACCCCAGTTATCACCACGTGTGACCCTGGGAAACATTAGAAGCCCTAGTTATTGCCAGGAATGGTGGTGCAAGCCTTTAGACCCAGCCCTCGGAAGGAAGATGCGGGAAGATCTCTGTGAATTCTAGACTTGGTCTATGCAGTGAGCTTCCAGGCCAGCCTGGACTACATGGTGAGAAGACCCTATCTCAAAAAAAAAAAGAAAGAAAGAAAAAAGAAAAAAGAAAAAAGAAAGGAAGAGAACCTCCAGATATCTGATGCTGTATTGCCCCATGTCATCTTTATAAACGATATCAAGGTGTTGGCACAGGTTCATAGAACGTTGTCTTTCTGCAAACTTTGCAAGCTGGCGGCTGGCTGTTGCTGCGTCAGCATGAGCTGCGAGGTCGGCATTCGGTGCTCCATTGTTGGCTGGCGGCTTGGCCGTTGGCACTCCTCCGACTGAGGCGACCATGGCGGGGGTGGTAGCGCTAGTGCGGAAAACTCAAGAATATGTGAAGACCAAGGAGTTCCGGGATTACATAACCAGCACCCACTTCTGGGGTCCTGTGGCCAACTGGGGCCTCCCACTGGCCGCCTTCAAGGATATGAGGGCGTCTCCCGACATCATCAGTGGCCGCATGACGATAGCGCTCATCTTCTACTCCATGGCTTTCATGCGCTTTGCCTACCGGGTCCAGCCTCGAAATTACCTGCTGTTGGCGTGCCATTTTTCCAACGTGGTGGCACAGAGCATTCAGGGGAGCCGTTTCGTGGCACACTACTACCTTGGTGGGGCCAAGGCCCACAACCGTCCGGCCAAATAACCTTCATGACTGGGGGATGGGAGGGATAGCCTGACCCAGACTTTGCAGCTTGCAAGCATTGGACTCTATTCCTCCTAAAGAAAGGCCAAGGAAAACTTTGGTTTGGACTCTAAAACGGTGCAAACCCAATTAAAAACTGCAGTTTGGTTAATTAAAAAAAAAAAAGAATCAAATTGAAAAAAACAAAACTTTGTAAGTTCTAAGGGAGTAAATGAGTAACTTACTACAGGGAATCTTGAAATAAGTAGAACAACACAAATTATTGCCTTCTCTCCAGGTAGGAGGAGAAGCAGGTAGTTTGGTCTAAACTTTGGTATGATGGTAGAGTTTGGTTCCTCTCTCGATCAAGACATGACTGACAGACCTGAAGCATCTCCCACTGGAGAAAGTGTCAGTATTCTTTATCTTATGCTTGGCAATATTTTCCAGGTAAAGTAAATATTACTGTAGCGGCTACATCCAAACAAAGTAGTGCCTGCCCAAATGATGCCAGTAAGCAACAAGATGTCAACTGGAAAGACACCGTAGTCAAAGGCTTACTGGTAGAGGTATGTACATAGGAAATACCAAATTCTTCCAAACACTGGGAAACAGTGTCTAAGAGATAAACTAGGACATTCTTCTCGAAAAGGCCTAATTGACCACAGTTACTTTTGATGCAAACCTTCTGCTTTGAACAAATACAGTATTACACATCCATCCTGTTTTAAATCAATTCCTCAGCCCCTATTGGGTAGGTGGCTCAGTGGGAAAACACTTAACTAGCTGTTCATAGCCCTGGGTTCTATTCTCTGCATCTCCCAACCCAGCCAACCTACAGAGCCTCACCAAGGATGATGGGGCCCCTTGAAACATGCTTTGTGATTTCTTAACTCTCCTCTTGATGTGAAGCAGCCTGTACATCTCCTCCTCCCCACACTTCTTCTTAACTGATCCTAAAGCGAAGTATAATCTTAATCCCAGGGTCTTGGGTTCAAGCCCCATGTTGGACACCAGATTAAGTGTGATCCTAATTGGTCTTATTAATAAAAACCCAGAGTCAGATATCGAGGTAAATGCTGAAAGATCAGAGAGGCAAAAGAGCAGCCATAGTCACCTCTTACCTCTTTGCATCCTCAGACAGAAAGAGCGAGATCCTGTCTATACCCTGCCTAATCACTTCCTGTCTCTGCCCTGTGTTGTCACTTCCTGTCTCCTCTCTGTACAGACCTCCAGACCTCTATGGTTAACTAATGCTAGCTCTGCCCTCTGATCTCCAGGCAAGTTTTATTTGTCAGAACACAAAATATCACAACATATTAAAGTCTAAGAGACAAATCCATTTGCTCCATGCTTGTGAGCAGTTCCTACCAGCCTCAAAAAAAAAAAAAAAAAAAAAAAAAAAAAAACAAGAACAGTTGAAAGTGCCACTCAGTGACACAGCAGGGTTGGTTTTTGTTTGTTTGTTTGTTTTTCGAGACAGGGTTTCCCTGTAGCTCTGGAACCTATCCTGGCACTCACTCTGTAGAACAGGCTGGCCTCGAACTCACAGAGATCCACCTGCCTCTGCCTCCCGAGTGCTGGAATTAAAGGTGTGTGCCACCAACACCTGTTGACATAGGGTTATCTTTGTACAATCTATGGGAACTGAGGGCCTGAAGGGATGTTGACACTGTACAGGGACGTCCACATAATAAGGACAGGGACAAGAAATGGCTCTCAGGAACAACCCCGAGCCAGCCATGCCTCTGGTAACTGATGTTTGGTCTCTTTTCCTTTGTGGAAAAATGACCCAATTTATTATTCTGTTCTCGTTTTTTTGTTTTTTTTTTTTCTTACTCTCTAACAGCCTGAAGGTATTGAAAAAGAAACAAGCCAGAGTTTCCTTATCTGCACAGAAGGTAAGACAGCTCTCCAGATGGTTAGATGGTCCTAGAGAAATCTAAGCATGGTAGATCTATTTCCTTGACCTGTGCACAAGCCACAAGCCACGAGCCACAAGCCACGAGCCCACTTACCATGTGGATGCATTTTATAGGGTTTTACTTTATTTCATGTTGTGTCTTCTTTGATGTATAATTTTTAGCAAACAAGATGCATGTTAATAAATTACATTTGTTTGTCTAACAAGATTAGTTTGCCTATTTCCTCCATCTTGTATATTTTTATTTCTTTGTTCATATGATTGTCTCACAATCTCGATCAATGGAAAACTCAGGAGTTTTCAAATTAACGCTAGCATAGTGGTTGCTTTTATATTCTTGTTATGAAAATAGTATGTAGATTCATTACTGGATCTCAGTCACCTGAGTTGTAGCTATCATGAGCATTATTTTAGCTGGTTAGTGGTAGTTTGATTTTAATGTTTTAATGTTGAGCATTCCTTCTACGAGCCATGAGTCTTATATCTTTCATTTTTTTTCCATATGTAGTTTAAGTACTGAACTGATAGAAAATGGAGACCACTGTCTAAGACGAAGCATACATCAGTTTCTGAATGTGTTGTTATTATAAACTAGCTCAAATACTCAGTTTACTTTTTAAAAAAAACTTATTACATATATTTATGTGTGTGCATGCCTGTGTGTGTGTGTGTGTGTGTGTGTGTGTGTGTGTGTGTGTGTGTCTGCACACATGCATGTATATGAGTGTGCATTGCATACTTTTGGGGGGTGTGGAAGTCAGAGGACAACTTGCTCTGGGGTTCCTTCTCTTTCTAGCCAGGGATTGAACTCAGATCATCAGGCTTGGTGGCACAGGCTATTACCCTCTAAGCCATCTCACTGTCCCAAATTCACAATTTCATTTTGTCTAGTAAGTGAAACTAAACAATGGCCTTTTCTTCCAAGTACAGCTGTTCCAAAAATCTGCTACTGTGGTTTGGAGAGGGAAGTCTTTGCATTATTTGTGTGGGTATTTTTCTTTCAGGTACCAAAGTCTCAAAGCCAATACTTCTGGAATTGCCAAGTGATGCAGTGGAAGGGTCGGTCAGATCCTTTGTCACCATTGTGGGTGAGTTTATCACACTATGTATCATGGTGACTTGAAAAACCTTGGTTGGGGTGGTCTAAAAAACAAAAGTTCTAAAATAGCAGAATGGAGATGTTTTCCTAGCCATCAGGGCAGGAACTGTGTTCCGGCCACTCTCTCTGCCCATTTCCGTGTGGAGTTCCCAGACCTGCATCTCTCCACCTTGCTCTCACTGGCGGGTAGCAGTAAATGCTCAGAAAACAGGAGACCCCGTTATGACCTGTAAATATGAATGCTAAATTAGCCTCTTGGAGATTATGCTATGTTGTGATACTGGGAATTCTCTTGGTTAAAATAAAAGAGAGGGATGTTTCCTAAAAGGAAAGGTTAATTCATCGTATCATCGACATTGAAGCCTGTAGGAGAGGGATGAGGTGTAGTTTGTATCACATCAGCTCAGTATCTAAAATCACAAATCAGAAGCAGGCCAGCAAGTGAGCACACTTCCTAAGCGTCCTCCATGCTGTGGGGATGAGATTTTTTTCAGGAACATTTTATACCTGAAACCCCTCTAACTCCGCGCTTAAGAACCACCTCCCTCAGATTCTCTCTAGGAAATTTTGGCTTGTTTATGTGTTCTGTTTATTTTGTTTTAAACTGTGTGTAGAGCAGGCAGTGTGTGCACATAAGCATGGTGCCCAAGGAGGCCAGAGGCATCAAGTCCCCCAGAGGTGAAGTTAGAGAGAGCTGTGAGCCACCTAATACGGGTGCTGGGTGCTGCATTCAGGCCTGCTTCAAGAGTAGCAAGGGCTCTTAACCACCGAGCCACCACCTCCCCAGCCTCCTGGTTACACCTTCTAGAGCCAACTTTAAATGTTTTCTGCTCCTACCATGCATTAACAATAACCACGGGCTCTAATGCCGAGGCATCGGCTCAGTGTGAACATAAGTGCATGACTCTCCTTTTCCGTTTTTAGGGGACATTCTAGGAGTCACAATGCAGAATCTGGAGAGTCTTCTCCATACGCCCTATGGGTGTGGTGAGCAGAACATTGCCCAGCTAGCATCTGACACTTACATACTCGACTACCTGAGAGCCACCCAACAGCTGACAGAAGTAGTCAAATCCAAGGCGCTACTTCTCTTAACCAACGGTGAGAGGGGATAAGAGTTTCTGCCAACAGATGTGAAGCCAACTGCAGCTGATATCAAAACACGATCAGTCTTACTCTGTGGCCCCCTGGTGAGACAAAAGTAAAGCTTTTAGGTACTCTGGGTCCTAGCTGTGTGCTCTTTTTTACTTTAAATCCGTGTCCATCATTTGACCTTATGATGCAGAACTGTAGTTGCAAATTTTAAACTCATCTTTCTTTTAAATTTTCTTTATTCATTGCATCCACCCCGTCTACACCATTCTTTTCCTTCTCTCCCAGCCTGAAAATCAGTTTGCTATTGTGTTGTGTTTTAGGTTACCAGAAGCACTTGTCTTTCAAAAACTACGACGGTTCATACAACATGTTCTGCCAGAGCAGTCAGAAAGGAGACACATGGTGAGAGATGGAGACTTTGTTTTCAATAATACAGGTTTTTCTCCCAAGCAGGACTTGCAAGAAGGTGACAGTAGCTGGTCCTCAGTGGGGATGTCCAGCCAAGTGAGTTTCCCAGTGGATTTACAGAGAATAAAACAAAACCCCTAAGTTTATTATTTCCAGTCTGATGCAACAATATCCCCCTAGTCTCATGCAACTTGCTCGGCTGTGTGATCATTTAATGATGGTTTTCTGTGATGTCACAGCTCATCAGCTCCATGACATCTTCCTCTGTGCCCCTCAGTCTCATTTAGATGCGGGGGAAAGGAAACTAGATACCCCATAACATCGGGTTACAGACCATACCAGTCCTGTTTCTGGGTATGTGTAATCAAACGGACTACACAGCCAGACCTTTGGGTGGCAAAAGTCTGCCTGCTCTAATTGCTATAGATACGCTGTTCATCATAGTTTACTGACCCCAGTGAAAGGTCTACTGTCAATCAAGACTAGTATTGGACACTGTGTATGAATGCATTACCCAAAGGGAGCAACACTGATGAGCCTGTTGAGCGGCTGACATCATCTCTGCCCCTAACTTCTGCTGTGATGATCCCATTACAGGCTCAGTGCTCTTACTTTCAAGACGTTTGAGAGGATGAAGGAATATATTTTCATTGAAGACTCGGTCCCCAAACAGACCTTAATCTGGCTTTCAAGCACACAGAGAACAAATGGGTGCTTCAGAAGGAATGACAAGCTTGTCACCAATGCTGGGGAGGTAAGGGACTCACAGTGAGGCTTTCTCTCTCTGTTGCCCTGTGACATCTGCCTCTGTCGCCTTCCCTCATCTGGAATGCATCATCCTTGGGAGTGCTATGCCTTTTGAGTCTGCTGCACTAACGGGGCCCCTGTCCTCTCTGTGAGCATCAGTCCTGTTTAACCAGAGCCTAGACAAAACCCTGCATGAGTCTTCTGTTTGCCTTCTTCAGCCGTTGGACTTTCTACAGAGTCAGGTTTCTGCAATCGTTAAACTGGGAAGAGGAAAAGAAAGAGGACTCGGCACAGAAAGCTTCTGGGAATTTGGAGTCAGACAGGAAGGGATCTTGAGTGTGAAGAATTCCTTTCTGTGCCTCCGTCCTGGGGGGGTTAAATCATGGTCTCAGGCTGGGGGTGCAGCTCAGCTGGTAGTGTGTGTCAACCCAAAAACACAGCTCTCACCTCAAAGAGAACAGGAGGTCATTTACTCTGAAGCCAATCATGAGTGACCAGGGTCCAGAAACACAGATCCAGGATTCTCCAAATTCCATGTACAACTTTGTAACAGTTTAACTAAGGTTTTATGTAGCAAAACAAAGGAAGTCATAACCCAGAGAACTTTCCAGATACATTGGTGGAAACATTGAGGAGGTGGTCACAGCAAAGGAGGGAGACTTGGCCCCAGGACTCAGAGGCTGTGTGATGGCACCCTTAGTTGTTCATTGGTGGGAGCTAGGGGCTGGTTAAGTTAATATATTCCAGACAGTTTATATCTGTTAGTCACAGAGGTGCACAAGGAGTGGCCATCTAGGTTAAAGAACTTGGTTCCCGACCTGCAGCATTCCAACCTCTCCACCACCACTGATGGTTTGTTTAACCAGTTAATGAGCCTTGTAGGAAGTTCAGAGGAAGGTATGACTTCCTTCTAGGAACTTCATTTACAAATGCTTGCAGTATGCATGGAGCCTGGTATTCAACCCCAAGTACCACACAAACCCTACCAGGCATGCTCCAGGTTTAGTGGCTCATCCCCATAACCACAGCACTTGAGAAGGAGAGACAGGAAGGGCAGAAGTTCAAGGTTATACTCAACTAACAAGTGCCCTACATGAGAGCCTGTCTCAAAAAAAAAAAGCAAGGCATGGGGGCTCACACCTTAAATACAAGCACTCAGGAGGCAGAGGCAGAGGATCTCTGTGAGATTGAGGCCAGCCTTGTCCTCCAGGGAGCTCCCAACCAGCCAAGTCTGCATAGTGAGACTCTAAGAAACACACACACACACACACACACACACACACACACCAAAAACAAAAGCCAACCAAACTGCAACAACAAAAACCTCATAGACTCTGGTTTAATGCTAATTTTCTCCAGGGAATTTTTATACATGATCAGTGTGCAATCCCTGTGTTTTTTAATTCTTTTCTAATTTGCACAATACTCATATAGGAGTCCTGATAACATATGCTTGATAGTTTTATGTCAACTTGACACCATCTACAGTCATTTGGGAAGATGGAGCCTCAGTTGAGAAACTACCTACCAGAGTGGCCTGCAGGCAAGCCTATGGTGTATTTTCTCAAGTATTGATTGGTGTGGGAGGGCCCGGACCTTTGTGGCTGATGCCACCCCAGGGAAGGCTGGGCAAGTTTAGGGAACAAGACAGTGAGCAGTGTTCTTTTGTGGCCTCTTCTTCAGCCTGACCTCTGGGACTACAGTCTGTGAGGTAAAATAAACCCTTTCCTCCCCAAGCTGCTCTTGGTCATCGTCTTAGGGTTTCTATTGCTGTGAAGAGACACCATGGCCATGGCAACTCATATAAAGAAAACATTTAATTAGGGCAGCTTACAGTTTCAGGGGTTTAGTTCATTATCATCAAGGCAGGCAGTGTGCAGGCAGACAGACATGGTGTTGGAGAAAGAACTGAGAGTTCCTGATCTTGATTCTCAGGCAACGAGAAGTGAACTGTCTACCCTGAGCGTAGATTGAGCTTAGGAGACCTCCAATCCACACCCACAGTGACACACTTCCTCCAATGAGGCCACACCTACTCCAACAAAGTCACGCCTTCTAATAGTGCCACTCCCTGTGAGTTTATGGGGACCGATTACAAGCAAACTACCGCTGTCATGGTGTTCATCACAGCAGCAGAGCCCAAGTAAGACACTACTGTAACTGCCACTTTGGCTGGAGTTTCCACAAAGTCTTTCATCTCCTTTCAGTCTACCCCATCAACAACGAGTTTCTTTGCTATCTTCAAATTAATACCAAAACATCCAGGGACCTGCTCAGAATCCAGGCCAAACACAGGCCACATAATACTATGTGTACTTATGCACAGCATACTTGTGTTTAAAATTCTTATTTAATTATTCCATTGAGTGTTAATGGAATCTCACCCAGAAAGCATGACTACTTAAAAACTCCATGTTAGCATACCTAGCTTAAAAACTACATGTTGAAGTGTTTCTAGGGATAACGATGTTTGTTGGAACATTCTTTTTCCTAGATAGCCCCAGTTCAGAAACAGCTGTCCTTGTGTGCCCTGCTGTCCCGTATGGCTCACTGTTCCTTTGTTTTCAGGGCAGCCATGAAGAGGATGTTGTGCTCACTGCATATGTTGTCGGGGCGTTCCTAGAAGTTGGATTCGATTCCAGTGTACGGATTCCCCTCATGCCCGGCTTCACTTAGCAGCATGCACCCTAGATAGAGCCTGGATTCAGAATGACTTGAAATTCTTAGACAGGATAAGATACCAAGACAACATTTAATCCACTACCATCCTTTAAACTGATGCCATTCAAAATTCTCTTGCCTCACTGATAGGACTGAGGTTTCCCCCATGTTGGATACACTCATGGAAAAAAAAAAACTCAAAAGAAACCTTTTCATAAGGTTTCAGGTATTTATATGTTCCCTGAACTGCAGCCACCAAGTTCAGATTACAGACCTCTGCTGTGGCAGTGTTCAATTGTAACTCCAGTGTTCATAAAATCAAGGCAAAAGGATCACGACATCCGAGGCCAGTCTTGCCCATACAGCAAGACCCAGAACCAAAACCAAAGGCAACTATCGATGAAAAGGCTCTCAGTAAAGCCGCAGTCTAGAAGTTTGTTTTCAAGTCACTGAAGTGTTTGAAGTATGGTTTCAGTACACAGGCCATCAGTTACAAAATCTGTTCCTAAAGCAGATACTGTGTGATTTCAGGATCGTTAGCACATCTCGAAATACAAACCTCTATTTAAAGCATGAAAGTAAAACATTTTAGGTATAAAAGGAATGTGTGATCTGGGGGGATCACTAAGTTAGGAAAGTACTCACCTCACACGCATGAAGAGGACCTGAATTCTGTTCCCAGCCACCTGTGTACAAATGCAGGTTAACATGCTAGCACATCCCTGTAAACCTGTTTCTAAGGAGACAGAGAATGGAGGATCCTTGGGACTCTCTGGCCAGTAAGGCCGATATAATCAGTGAGCTCCAGCCAAGGAGACTTGTCTCAAATGAGGTAATCGGTGGTCTTCAGGTTAGCACCCAAACCCATCCTCTGACCACCACGACACATGCACATACACACAGATACGCACACACATCCACACACATAGAATCGTATGTTTTGTAACACGGAAGAAGTTTATATTATAGGTAAAACATTGCCAATCTAATATCGAAACTCACTTTACTCCTTAAATTTTGTTTTCCCCATACTAATAATAGTCCAAATTTATTTTTCTGATTCTTTAAAAAGAATAAGAGTATGTGAATGTATATATATGATAGGTTTGTACGTAAAATGTGCTTCGGGGATATATTATATACATTGTAAACGGCATTGTAAGCGGTGGTTAGCTTATGTATTCAGCGAGCTCATGTTCAGGGATCACCAGCATCTCTCCTCCCCACTAGTTCCCTGCCCTCCGCAATGGTCTCTATTGCCTGGAGGAGGCGTATTCAAACGGCATCACCAATGGCTACACTCAAGCCATTCTGGCTTACGTGTTTGCACTGGCTGGAAAAGAACAGCAAGTGAAATCCTTACTCTCCATCCTGGATGAATCTGCTACAAAAATAAGTAAGTCCCACTACCATTTGTCTTTGCTAGGGGAGAAACTCCTGAAAACAAAGTGCAGACCTCACCGAGGGTGTGGATCAGAGCCCTCCCTCCACCAAGGTGCTCCACCAGAGCTCCTGCAGAGCAAGTCAGCGCCCATTTCTTCAAAGAGTATCAGATATTTAATCTCCCTCTTTCTCTTTTCCACCATTTTTTTTCAAACAGGTGACATAAAGGAAATTAAGCATGCTGCAGACAATCATAGTTACTTCCAAAACTACTTATGACCCTAAGGAGACACCATATTTATTGCCCAGGCTCTGTCATAGAAAACTACCACAGACTGGCTAACTTAAACTCAGAAAAGTCTAAGATCCAGATAACGGAAAGTGGGGGGACTTTGACCATTGCCCTCAGTGCCCCTTTCTGTGTGGACAACCTTGACGCCCTTTTGTATGTCCGTATTTCCTCTTCTCATAATCACCACCACACTGGATCATGCGTCACCCTAGAAAGCTCATTTTAACTTCATCATCTCTTTAAAGAGCCTATCCCCAAATCCAGTAACATTCTGAGGTCAAGGTTTCAGTATGAGTTTAAAATTCAGCTCACAACAGAAATCCAAAGAATAGAACCTGTCCCCTCTGAATGGGTAACTTATAGGAGCTTGTTTTAAGGACTGTGAAAATTCTTTTTAGAGAGAGCAAATTTTTTTGCCTGTTTGCTTAGATAATATGATATATTGGGAGAAAGAAGAGAAACACAAAACAGAAGGCTCTCCATCGTTCATTCCTTCGGCACTTTCTGGTGAGACCGAGAAGACATGCTATGTGCTGTTGGCTGTCATTTCTCGAGTCGCTCAGGACCTTGATTACGCTAGTAAGATTGTGCAGTGGCTTGCCCAGCGGATGAACTCCCATGGAGGTTTCTCTGCCACACAGGTGATTAGCGTGATACGAGTGAATATGTTTAATGGGGAAGATGCCAGTCTAGATGACAATAGTAACAGTCATAAAACATAGATCCTGGGATGAAGAATGTATTTGATATTCTTTTTAGCTTTATGTGTATCAATATTTTGTATGCGTGTTGGGTTACCTGGAGTTACAGATGGTTGTGAGCTACCATGAGGGTGCTGGGAATTGAACCTAGGTCCTCTGCAAGAGCAGCGGTGCTCTTAACCACTGAGCCATCTCTCCAGCCCTCACATTTGATATTCTGAATCCTGATTTATTTAGTCATGGGCTCATCATTGTGTTTCAGACACTCTTTCGAGGAGACTAATTTAGATAATAAATGGGAACACTCCCCCCGACTTTAAGGAATTCAGGCTATCTGTGTCTCCATTGCACAGTGGAAGGCAGAATATAAATCTAGAAGAGATTTTCTTTGTAAGAACGGAGTCCTACTACAGTAGATAGCTAATGGTACAATGGTCAAACCACGTGTCAATTAGGAATGAAGATCTCTCTTTGCTTCAGAAAAAGCAAAGGGGGTGGGGACAGGAAACCGAATGGCCATGAAGCAGTGGATGACTCCTTCCCTAAGAGGAAAAACTGAAGGTCGGGGGATTCCATCTAATGAGGACAATGTCCCTTCTTCTCCTGCCTTAAACGCGGAGTCCCCATGAGATGGCAGGCTGATGAATTTCCAAAGACCCTCTTCTGACTCTTGTCCCTCTGTGAATATGAGGGAACAGAAGTGCAGTCATCCCATTGTACCACACTGTCACTTTCTGACTAGATTTGACATGATTTTCAGCAGTGGGGATGGTTATTTATTTTTTGGAAACTAAAATCAAATTAAGATTTGCTAAAGAAAACTAATTGGCAGCAACTCACATGCGTAAACATTCTCTGTCGTGCGGGGCATCATTTCTTGTCCTGTCACCAGCTCCAGGAATGTTTGTAGGAACCGACTGAAAGTCCATGGTCAGCAATGACTCACCTTGTAGCACTGTTCCATGCAGGACACCACAGTGTGCCTTCTCGCCCTAACCCGATACATGAATTTAACTGGCTCTAACTCTCAAAACACCGTCACCTTGAGCACTGAAGAATCTGAAGAGGTTTTCCCCGTCAACAATGATAACCGCCTTCTGGTACAACGTTCAAAGTTATCCAAAGGACACGGGCAATACACGGTGGATGTAGATGGAGAAGGCTGTACGTTTATCCAGGTAATGGAATCCCTCCTCGGGGAGAACTGAGCTTGCCTGTGGGAATTCAGGCACTCCACTGCTCAGTTACATGTGGAGTGTCTTGTCACCTTGACTCTTAACTATAATTATCTCTACTTCCCTCACATTTTTGTAATCAACAGCAGCAAATAACAAGCCATGTTATGCAGAAGCTGTTCACACTTCTACTAATTTTAAAGTTAACACACAGGGACTAGAGAGATGATTCAGTGATTAAGATCCCTGGCTACTCTATTCTAGAGGCAGGCCCCTTGGTTTGATTCTCAGCACCCACATGGTGGTTATTACTCCAGTTCCAGGAGATCTGACGCCCTCTTCCGGCCTCCTTGGATACTGCACAATGTGGTGCATACATGCAGACAAAACACCCATACACATGAAATAAATAAGTCTTTAAAAAATAAAGTCGGCATACAGAGCAATAGGTTTCACGTTAGCATTTTCGTGCATGATTTGCTCTTCTTTGTCTTTCTTCCCTATTACCTCTGCCTTCACCCCCTTTTATTGAACGCTTCCACTCCAACAATACCCCCTCTGCTTTCACGGCATGCGCACTCCATCACCCCCTCCCAAATAAGAGCTCTTTTTTTCCATTTCATGACCCCCCCTCTCCATACACATACATACTCATACAAGCACACAGAATACAAACTGAACCTTTTTTTAATAATTAGATTTCTTCTTAGACAGTTCTGCATAAGCCTAGCTGGCTAACAAGTTTCTTAGGGAATGCTGCTGCTAGAGAGTATTCTATCCTCATCAAATGACATCATCATGCCTCACCTCATGAAAACTACATGTTGTCTACCCTGGTTCCCTGATGATAACGATGTAAAGCACATTAACGATGGAGTTAGACGGATAACGGGTCCTCCAGCTCTTACTACAGAACGGTTTCCAAGATGCTATCCTTTCCAGGCCACCCTCAGGTACAATGTACTGCTTCCTCAGAAGGCATCAGGATTTTCCCTTTCCTTGAAAATGGGGGAAAGCAATTCTTCGGATGTGTCCCAGAAGAAGTTTGACCTCACAGTGACCCTCACGTAAGTGTCACATTTTGAACAAATTTGAATGATGGCAGCTATGGTGAGTCACATGTTAGTGGGTGATATTCTACACCACCGACACTCTTGTAGACCCTGCTTTAACAGCTAGAACTTCAGCAAGGTCTACAAGTGTATGCTTCGTGCCCCTCGGCTATAACCTGGGAGCTGTTGCCTTGCTGACAGATCACCAGTGTGGAGGATCTCCTCCAGTGTTTGACAAGTCTAAAGCTGATTGGGAACCTGCATAGCATAAACAAGGAAACTGTCTGTAAAAACTGACTTTGTGAGATTGGGGAGACTTTGTGTCCTCAGACGTCATCATCTGCACCAGCTAATGTCCTCTCATCCACTGTGACTCAGCTGTGATTGTCCCTTGACGTTTGAGAATGAAGTTTTCCAGCTCCTTCCCTCCCAGCTTCTGCCAGCTCTCCAGGCTTCAGCTAATTGGCACGTCTGTCCACCTGCCACCCTCGCTGACAGAGCTCACGTTTCTAAATCCACGCAGAAGTATGCCTGCTTTTCCGTTGCAGGTATATGGGAGCTCACGAAAGCTCCGACATGGTCCTTGTGGATGTGAAGATGCTCTCTGGGTTTACTCCTGTCCTCTCATCCGTCGAGGAGGTGAGTAAGAGTGGCCCTGTTCCCTGGCACAGAGAAAATGAGAATGCGTAAAAACATCAAACTAAATAATGGAATTCTTCAGGTTTGCCATTTGTATTTTGTCTATACTGGAGCAGGAGGGATTATATTCTTATTCTGC